CTTTGCTCCCAACCTTTGCATTCCAATCACCAGTAATGAGCAATACATCTTGATTGAATGTTTGATCGATTTCAGAGTGAAGAAGTTGGTAAAATTCTATTTCATCCTCACTGACTTTAGTGGTTGGTGCACTAATTTGAATAATTATGGTATTAACTGGGCTTCCCTGTAGGCACATGGATATTACCTTATCACAGACAGCAATGTACCTCATGACTAATCTGGATATGTTCTCTTTGATGATGAATGCAACACCATTCCTTCTTAATTTGTCATTCCCTGCATAGTAAACCATGTGGTTGTCAGATTCAAAATGGCCAATACCAGTCCATTTCAGCTCACTAATGTGTAAGATATGGATGTTGGTGCGTTCCATTTCATTTTTGACAACTTCCAATTTTCCCAAATTCATACTTTGTTCATTCCATGTTCCGATTTTTAGTGGATGTTTACAGCTGTTTCTCTTCATTTTGAGTTGTGCCCCATCAGCAAATGAACATTCTGTGGGCTTTTCTCCCATGAGCTTAACTCCATTCATGTCATCTGGTCAACTCTACTTTGCAGAGGCATCTCTTTCCCAGTTGCATTTTGAGTGTCTTCCAACATGAGTGGCTCATTTTTTGGTCCTGTATCAGACAGTGTTTCTTGCTATTCATAAGGTTTTCAGTGACTAACGATTCGGAAGTAGTTCGTCACTCTTTCTTCCTAATCTGTCTTTGTCGGGAAGCTCATCTGAAACCTGTCCACCATGGTGAACCTGCTGGTTATTTAGCATACCGGTGATGTAGCCCTCAGAATCACAGCAAGCCACCACACCACAGCATGACAGACAGACGAGTGGTGGCCATTTGGTTTCATGTCGAAATTGTCACTTTAAATTTCAATATCAGTCATGATACAATCAAGATGTTGTCTCCCATGATGGCGGCTCCAGGAATAGCTGAGCATCTTGAATTAGAAAACAATGGATTTCTTGATTCTCCTACAAATTCTCTTAGCTGTAAGCCCTCCAATCCTCCAAATATTCCGTTATATGTGTTTCAGAGTTCCAGCACCATCTCCTGAGCTTGCTTGGGCCAATATTCCAGGTTATTACTGTCAGAGCTCTTCACTGAATGTATACCCGACCTACCAACTATCTATCAACATATGTTGATAGTCACATGGAAATGTAGAATTAAAAAAGAAACAATATTTTAGGTGAATAGTCTCATAAAAACTTTATCATCACGTATTATATTTTTGTTAAAATATAACAAAATTTACTGAAAGTATGGGTACACTCTGTGTGTTACTGTAAGGTAATCACTGGGCTATCAACCAAAATAATTGTGATTCAAAAACATTCACCTTATGTCATCAAATGGGTCACCATGAGTTGGTTAAAAACAACAATGGATTAACTGCATGTCAATTCTTTGGTGTTATATTGTAATACCTGCCAATTCAAGGATAAATCAAAAGACATACAAATAAAACCTACATCCTCCCAATGTAAGCAAAGTGCATATTAAACTAATTTGAGGAAGTTTTGAAAGGTGATATACAATACTAAAGAGGAAGAAATAGGACTGTCCATATTGAATGCAATGAGAATTAAGCAGATAAAAGCATAGAACATGCTTGATAAAACATACGGAACATAGATTAAGCATCAATAACTAATCAATGAGTCTTAGGGGAAAAATATTGCTGGGTTTGCATTCTTGCAATATATTAACTATTTTTATGAACACATTTTATATTTACACATTTCAACTGTAGTTCCATGCCTAATATTGGATATGAGTTCCTTGATACAATTGGTTAGTTAGAGATGTCTGCTTGTAGCTATGAAGGAAAGACTGGAATTCAAAAGGTAAATGATGATGTACAAGGTCTGTAACATCAAGGTGAGTAGGAAGAGGCAAAGAGAAACAAATGGCATGCTGCTGGTCTTGCAGGGACAGGTTACCAATTAACCTGAATTTCACCTTCTAAAATTTTGGGCTTGTAAGATTTTTCCTACCCTGCGATCAGAACAGAGCCCTGGTAGTGTTAGGGGGTTACTCATTGGGCTGATGATCTGACTGACAAAGAATGCATTGGCTACTAAGGACCTTTGGATATTGAGCCTCCAGGGATACAGAGATTGCAAATAGTGTGCCTGTACCATCTACCTTCAGGATCCTTCCCCTATAAGGAGTTATAACAGAAGACACTATCCAAGAGATGAGAAGTTTTCACCAGAAACCTTGTGCTTCACTGAGGACCGCTGTCCTGGCTGAGTACAGACCTTCTGCCCTCTACATCCAGCACAAATATCAGGCATCATTAAACAGAAATGTCAGCAAGGTAACCAAAACCCCCTAGTTAATACTTAGAAAGGGCAGGATTTTTTTCTTTTTTTAATATAGATAGATACAAAGAAAACGGATGTATATGAAGAAAGTACATGCTATAAATGATGGAACTAAGTGTCCTATGGGAATCGTCCTAGTCTGACAATATCTTGCTAGGTTTCTTTACATGTTTGCAGGTATTTGAAAGAGCTGTTGATCAGCTAGTCTCCTGCATTATCTCTACAATTGCAAGAGTGATATTCCTATTGAGAAATAACCTTACAAACATAACTTGTATTAGATTATCTGGCTGATGGTGGAGGAGGGTTCAATTTCAGTTTAAGAATCTATAAGATTGAGTAGAAAAATATTTGCATTCTGGCTGTAGAATTTATTCTGATCAACTTTGAGAAAAGACAAATAGATCATTTTTCATCATAACCTCCTTTATTTTCAGTACACTTGGTTCATCTGTCAACAAATTTACATATTACCTTATTTTTAAAATGTTTGAGGTTGAGTTATGGAGCTCTGCTAGCATAGCGGTTATGAATCGGACTGTGAATCTCACTGTCAGCAATTCGAAACTACCAATTGTTCTGAGGGAGAAAGATGAGGCTTTCTGCTCCTGTAAAGATTTATAGCCTTGGAAACCCTGTACAGGGTCACTATGGATCAGAACGGACTCCACGGCACATAACAACAACAACATAGCCATGAGTGCACTTCTGTCTTCACTTCTTCATTAGAAGTTAACTTTTGTCTCTGAAGGGCTGTTTTCACAGGATCAAAGAGGTGAAAGTCTGATGGAGCAAGATCAGGACTTTGGGTGGGTACTTTAAGACTTCAAACAAGGGTTTTGGCAGAGTGTCAACAGTGTGAACAGAGATATGAGGATGTGTATTGTACATGCAAGACCAAGGATAGCAGTCCTCTGCTTTAATTTGAAATTTAGGCTCCAGCTTTTCAGTGAGAATCTAACTGTAAGGAGCACCGCTTACTGTTGAACCTTTTCCCTGAGAGTGTTCCAACACTGTCCCTTGTTGTTGTAGATGCTGTTAGGTTCCAATGAGTCAGAAACTACTCACAGTGATCTTTCACAAAATGGAACAAAACCCTGCTCCGTCCTGTACCAGCCTCACATTCATTACTACCCATGAGCCCATTGCTGCTGCCACTGTCCCAATCCATTTAGTTGGGAGTCTTCTTTTTCACTGAACATCGAATTTACCAGGTATACTTTCTTTTGTAAGGGGTTAGTCATTCCTTATAACATATCTCAATTATGAGAGATGAAGTCTAGTCATCCTGACTTCTAAGGAGCAGTCTTGCTGAATTTTTTCCTGCATAGATGTGTCTGTTCCTTTAGCAGTCACTTGAGAATCCCAGAAAAATTCAAGCATAATTTATTACTTCTGATGTTTGAATTTGAAAGTTTTCTTGGTGAGCATTCAAGGATATTTCCATTCCAAACCCAGTCACTAGGATTATCATGATGAATGTTGTTTGAAGATATCCACATTCACACCTTCACAGATTTGACCTTGAAAGAAAAGTGCTGATAAGATAGTTCAGCCAAAATTACTTTTAACATAACCGGAGTGTGGATTATTTTTATTCACCCTCACTCACAGTTGTTAGTAAATATGTATGTCATTTGTATAGCCTAGCTCTGCTATCTGGGGGAAGGCATAGAGATGCATACTGAGTCATAAGCTTCTTTTAAGTTGATTTATATTTATAAAATTTCTACATATTTTATATAGTCATAAAAACTCACATACTGTAAATTAAAAATTAACATCACAAACTCTTCAGGATAATTAAGTGTTGGGAATATGCTGAATAATCTTCATTCATTTATTTTTTTTCCTTTTTAAAATAGCCAAATATTTATCATGGAGAAGAACATTCTCTATGTTACTCTTCTACCTTATCAAAAGACAATGCATGCCCTCAGTGCTGTTGTGTTGTTGCTAATACATATACCAACCTTGATTATTTTGTCACCCCATCTTTCTATTAGATTCATCAACAATATAGAAACCAGAAACCAAACAATTATTTCAGAATTCATTCTACTGGGAATGTCAGAGGATCGAGAACTGCAGCCCCTCATATTTAGCCTGTTTCTGATCATGTACCTGGTCACTGTACTCGGGAATCTGCTCATAGTCCTGGCTGTCAGCTCTGACTCTTACCTACACACCCCCATGTACTTTTTTCTCTCCAATCTGTCCTTAAATGATATCTGTTTAAGCACAACTACTATCCCAAAGATACTTTTGAATATCCAGACACAGAATCACAGCATCACTTATATAGGCTGTCTCAACCAGATTTTCTTCATTACAGCTTTTTTAGGTTTTGAAATTTTTCTTCTTGCTGTAATGGCCTATGACCGCTATGCAGCCATTTGTCACCCACTGAAGTACACAGTCATCATGAACTTCTACTTCTGTGGACTACTGATTCTACTTTCCTGGTTCATGAGTATGGTGAATGCCCTGCTCCAGACTCTGATGGTTTTGCATCTTTCCTTCTGCACAGAACTAGAAATTCCTCAATTCTTCTGTGAACTTACTCTGGTCCTTAAAATTGCTTGTTCCAGTACCCTCATCAATAATATCCTGATATATGCTTTGGTTTCCATATTGGGTGGTATCCCTTTCTCTGGCATCACATTCTCTTACACGCGCATTGTTGCCTCAGTTTTGAAAATGGCGTCAGGTGAAAGAAAGTATAAAGCTTTTTCCACCTGTGGGTCTCATCTTTCAATTGTTTCTTTATTCTATGGGACAGTTTTAGGTGTGTACTTCAGTTCACCATTTACAAACTCCCCCAAGAAGACAG